AATTAATTATTCTTGTGCCTCGCAAATTCTCGGGTGGAAAAAAATTGTAGGTGGGCTTGAAAATAAACTTAAGTATTACAGCAACTAATCCCCCCTAAAAAAAAACTTCTACAGAAGTAACTGGTCCTGTGATAGTACTTCAGAATAGGGAGTCCCACAGATCTAAACCGGATTGGACCCGGATCAGCCACAGTACAGTCATTTGCGGTCTTTCTATAACATAAAATTAGAGAAATCAAATAAATTTGTCAGCGGGGGAACAATCAAATTACTTGGTGTGTGTGTGTGTGTGTGTGTGTGTGTGAACAGAGCAATTGTGAAGTAAGATTTTGCATTCTTTCCCAGTCCCACTCCCTTTAAGAGAGATTGGAAGCGAGTGCACCTGTGGCTTATAAAAGGGGGGAAGGAGGGCGGGAAGGAAAAGGTGGGGACAGCAGAAGGTTCTGGGAGAGGAGGTTGGCGTGCTACAACAAAGCTGTAGTGCTTTAGAAGCCTTCTATAGGGTTGTTGTGCGTAGAAGACCTTAGGAGAGTCTGACCCTTCAGGAACCAAAAGACACCAATCAGGTAGGCTGGGAGTAACTCCCCAAAAGCAAAGAAGAATGTGAGTGCATCTAGAAGGTAACCAAAAGACACCAATCAGGTAGGCTGGCAGTAACTCCCCAAAAGCAAGGAAGCATGTGAGTGCATCTAGAAGGCTTTGCTCCCCTCTGGGGAAAAAGGGTATAAGGCTAAGCCTACTCTGAGACACCAGAGAAAAAAGATGCCCGGTGGGAAAGCTGGAGAGACCTAATGCAGGTTTCCCTTCTGGGTGAAGAAAAGAAGCCCCAGGATTGAGTGCTGGTGTGAACAGTAGGGGAATGTCTTACTGCCTTTCGAGTAACAGTTTATTGAAGGAGCCCTGGAGAGGGTAAGCTGAAGTCAGGTGCTGCAGAAGCGTGCATGGCCAGCAGGGCGGCGACAGGACAGATGTGCTTCTTGGCACACCCCTCCCCACCCACCTAAACAGGACTCGCAATGTTGTTAAACCATTGGTTCGCATAACTCTCACCCCTAATCTTTCCCAGAGTGTTTATAAAGTCCAAGCACTATGAAAAGGGGAAGCAGAGGCTCAGTACCATCAGCCCAGATCTTATTTCAGTGACACCGATGGGAGAATTGCAGAAATTTTCCATATTTATGCACAACAGGAGAGAGTTTCTGCAGATAAAGACTTTCCTCCATCTGTGGGAGGTTCTATTAGTCTTCCAATTTCACCTTCAACTGATACATACAGAGAGGCAAAATCCTCTTCAAAACTGCTCTAAAGGTCAACTGAATGAGCACCTTTCACCCTCCTCAGTCTGCAGAAGTGAACTGCCTTCACAGTGCATCCATGTTTTTCCAGGAGCTGAATTTGGATTCCATCAGCTAATGCCAGTTGTCCAAATACAGTCCTTACTTTGTCCAAAACTTTACAAAAGACTCTACTTGCTCTAGGCACTACAGTTTCTTCCTCCAAATACCCTGATTTACCTTTCCATGCCATCACCTATAATCTGTTTTTTTAATAGCAGATCAACAAGTCATAATATTTTGGCAAATTCTGACAAACATTTATTATAGTTTTTGGATAAAATGTACATGATCAATTTTCCTGCAGAGCCACTTTAAAACATTCCCAAATATTTTCAAGTGATGGTGTATACTATGCAGTATACTTCTCGATCCATCAGTAACTGTCCCGAATTAACACCTTATCTGTTAAAAAAATCAGACAGGAAGGTGGGAGAATCCAAGTACATATCTGGACTAGTGTTTTCACTTCCTTAGTTTCACAGAAACTCTGTTGCATCTACACCAGTGTGATACAAAACAACATCCTCAGCGCTTTTCTAGATCACATTAAGATGATCACATTAGTGTCAATATCGGAAACGGTATTAAAACCATCAAACATGACCAGCCAGGAAAACACTTTATTTTCCAGCTAGGGCCTGGAAAATGTAAGATTTCCTCTGGAGAAAAGGATTCAAACAGTCAGCATCGGGAAATCCTGCCTCGATTATAAGATTTCAGTGGGAACTGCATATGGGACTGGCTCTTCAGTAGACATAAGTATTCTATGAGGTGGTTTGGGCAAAGGAAAACGAACTAACTGACAATAAGGTCGTGGGGTGTGACCTAGGGGGATAAAACGCTTGTCGGGAGAGAACAGAGTCGTGGGTTCAAGTCCGGCTTCTCCCGGGTTGGGATGGCGGTTTGGGGCAGGAGGGATAAGGGATGCTCTGACGGTAAGGTGACAAGGTAGTTCCCTGTGTGGCCTAGGGGATAGGGCGCTTGCTCGGGGAGAACAGGATTGTGGGTTCAAGTCGCACCCACCTCCCTATGGTTTCAAAGAGGGCCGAGTCCGAAGTACTCAGACTCTACTTACCTAAGCTACCTTTGACTTTGTTGGAGGTGTACTTCAGCATGGCCAATAGTAGCAATACTTTTTAAACAAGTGTCTGCACTGTCAGACTTCTTGAATTTTAGGTTAATATTTGTGACTCCAGCTTGCCTTTGGAGTGAATTCTATTAAGTGACTGGTGTTTGTGAAGAGGACGGGCACTACTGTTTACACCCTTTGCTAAACTACTTTCCTTTAGGCTTTTTCTCTGGCAGGAGGATGTCACAGCACACTTGCATGCTAGATTCCACTTATTCCAGACAATGCTTGGCTTTTACCCAAACAGTCTCCCGTTGGCTGTGGCAGCTGGTCAGCAGAAACTCTGTGCCAGTGGTTTTCTGAATTCATGCTTTTAGCCAGCCTAGCACTTTCTACTGACATCACCTCTCCCACTAACTGTGAGACTCTCTTCCATCCCTGAACTTCCCAGGATTCTCTGCCAGACTAGCCCCTTTGGGGAAAACCTGGTGCTTGTTTGGAGCTGCTGAGCCCCTCCCGCTACAATGAAAATGGCTTTTTCATAATTCTTTTGATCTCAGAGAGTGCGCGGTAATTTTATAACATACAGGTGTGTTCACCCTCATATCACTATTGTCTGGATTTAAATTGACACAAATCCAAAACCCAAATTTCCTGAACACACATCAGCTGGCTGCCTCCCCAAATTTCCTGAACACACATCAGCTGACTGCCTCAGTTGGTTAAATACACTATTTTCCCTGGGATCATAACGATTGAGTTCATAGCTGGATCAGCTGCAAACTGAAATTTGAGACTCCCATTATGGCGAATCTCTGACAACATAGTTTGTAACTGTTGGAAGACTGTCAATGTGTATTCAGCGAAAATCTAACCCACAGTCTGTGTTCCCAGTAACAAAGTAAAAAATTGTCAGTTGTTTGTTTTTAATGCAGTTGCATAGACGACAGTATTTTTCTAACTGCAGTAACTCTTCATTTAACTGCCTCAGAAAAGCGCTGATTTGCACACTGCTTTTGTGTCCCTGAAATATCATCCAGAACATTTATATTCTTCTGCATCTGTACCTTAAAAAAGGACAAAATTGATGTTAAATACATTTCAGCCCCATTAAATTGTTGTCTGCGTTGAATGCTTAAAAGCCAAGGTTTCAGAGAGGGACTGCAGAAGAGAGGCAATTGTTCTACTGTTAGAATGGCCAGCTACTGAACTAACCCTAATGTTTAGGGTGAATGGATACTGAGCTGTTTGGCAGGGGCGGGGGAGAGCAAACGCTTTGGCTCGTCGCTGCAAATCACAGGATTTATCATTGTTATTCAAAATAAAATTTTAAAAGTCCTTAGTTTGAAGGGTTGAAGCATTTCAATGGACATAAACAATGGGTAACATTTCCAACATAAGTTCCTAACCTTACAAATTGTTTTTTTATTATTTATTAAATGAAATGCTTCATTTATACTGCCCTACTCATTCCCTTCTTTTAGACTGTCTTCTTTAGACCTCTCTTACCTTCATCAAGGCCTGGAATCCAAGGTTGGGTTTGAGCTTCAAATACAGTGGTGTCCAACATGCTAGCCACTAGCCACATATGGCTATTTGGCCGATCGAGTGTGGCTAGTTGGCTATAGTAGTAACCACTATATTTACGTTTCAGAATGTGACTAGTTCGCTATAGTAGTAGCCATGAACTGATTGGACACCAAGGTTCTACAACTTCCACTGGGAGCACCAGGATAAAAGTTTGCAAATGTGCTGGGGACAGTTGCAGGTGGTCTGCTGCTCTGGAGATCAGGCCATCATTTAGGTCAGAAGGCGTCAGTTTTAGGCATGGCCCCTTAACTCTAAACTCCATTAAAAATCTCAGGGGGAGAGAACCTGATTCCACATTGATTACAAGACTTCAGTGGGAACTGAACATGGGATGGGACCTTCAGTAGAACGAAGTAGTCTATGAGATTGGTGTGGAAGACTTATATATCCAACAGGGAATGATATTGTATTGGGGTGAGAATAGGGCTTGAATAGGAATGTGCTTTCTTCCCTCTCTTAAGAGACTGCCTCTGAAATTTGTAGACTTCTCTTGTAGAGAAGGAAGCTTATTTCAACACTTTAAACTGCAGCCCCACCCGGTTTCCAGGCGTGGGCTACATGATAGGTGCCACCTTTTTTGACATGGTTTTTAACTCCAAGAAGTACTCGAGATGATATATAAGCCATTTGCCTTTTCAGCACATCTCGACTTAATGCATACTAGACTTGGGTTGAAATAGAGCCTCGGAGTTCATGAGTCCACTTCTCAAGTTCTTGAGTGGTCTATACTACTTATTGCAAGTGCATTGTAACGCTTGAGGAAACCACAATCACTTGTTTGGTGGAGTCCAATCTTCCCCTCTACCAGATTAATTCCCTACTGCCCAAGGAAAATGAAGTTTAAAAAGTTTGGTAGAGCACTGAGCTTTACTCTAATCTCTTTCCTGTTTTCTTTGCGTGCGTGTGTGTGTGCTGTGCCAGTCATAAACACTCAGTAAACACTATTGTATCACCCTGGGGAAAATGAGAGCCCATTAACATTGTGAGCCCTCGGATTCACTTACAAGAGACTATAAAGCACTTATCTGATGGAGCAGGTCCATTAATTGCTGTGACGTGCAGTAACATCGAACCCCTTCAGATCTGAACTGGCTGCCGGATGCGTTTTAACCTCATATTTCTTAGAAAACTCCCCATGCAGGAGAGGAATCACAGGTACAGCTGAGGATGAGAGATCACAAAGTTGACAAAAGATTGTTTTCGCTATATACTGCACGCAGGGGGTAGATTATAGTGCAGAGAGCATGCTAAGAACCCCTGGGGCTATAAGGTACATGGTACCAAACGTACAAAAAACTTCCGCCTTCTCTGGGGCTGACAACGGGAAGGCAGAGCTCTAGCTAAGCAAGGCGTGAGCGCTAGGTTTGGCCAGGTACATTCAAGGCTTGGAGAACATTTCTCGTGCACGTGAAAGACTTGGCACTGATCAAAGGGGCGGGAGTTCACTTTAGGGCACCGCCAGTCCTTTTGCCTCCCGACCGACACCGGCCCGATTCCAAGTCCCGCGGCGTCCTAGAACCACAATCCGGATTACAGCGGCGGTGCCAGGCAACAAGTGAGACTCAGACCACTTGTCCCTAGGGTGCGCTGGAGAGGCCCGCGCG